GGGGCTCTGATGGGGGAGGGCTGGGTAGGGCTATCGACACCAGGGCCATTGTTTCTCAGCGACCCCCATTCAGGGTCATTTAGCATGTGACACCTCGAGGGGCACAGTGCAATACTAATGGCACAGAGGATAAATAAATGTGCCAGCTCCCTACACTCTGACCTGAGCCCAGATCACAAGAAACACTAAGGCAAAATAGATAAGGGGAAAGTGAGATTATGGACTTGCTATTGGGAACAAGGGGAAACAGAACAGAAGGAAGGTAGTGGGAAAAACCACATGGACAAAGCACTTTGAGGAGCTCATCTGCATACCTGAAGAGGGTGGGTCAGTGAGAATGTGTGATCTATCACACTTCCAGTGTAAGTGATGGGCAGGCTAGAAGACCTTTGGTGCCAGGAATGTTCATTGCATGAAAGTAATATGAGAAAGAGACATTGTTAAAGGGGCTGTAAACAGGCTGAACAAGACTCACCCAGTTTATCAAGGCTGGGTGTGTCCTAAATGCAGAAGCTCGACATGATGGGGAAACACCCATGAAAGAATGGAGGGGTAGAGTGCCTACAGGTCACAATGAGGTCCTGGCAGGAAATTAAACCCTAATTCCTCAATACTATGTTTATATATTTTTTTGCTTACTGATATTAATATTGCATTGTTAGTGTTGCACAGGCATCATGGTCAGTCTTTTCATGTGAAGTATTGGCAAGAAAGTGAACCCTGACCTGGGGCTTTAGAGAGTACCTGTTAAGTTGTTAACAACTGTTATTTATATCTTTGAGTTGGTGATCAGGAAAGTTTTCCTGTGACCACATGCTGAAACTAGAGTCTTCCTGTGGTTGGCATTTCTCCTCAAGAGACATTTCCTGTTACCACATAACACCCTTCTTTCCTCTCAGTGCTCCACCAGAAACAACTGAGGCAGCAGAAAACTACAAATGCAGATAGCAATGTATCAGCTACACAAGAGGTCTGACAATCTCTGTCACCAAAATGAAAGGTTCACAGATGCAAGAAAATGGTGAGAAAAGGTAGGAATTTCAAGTGAAGAGATGCCCACCAATTAATGTTGTGAGCTGCAATTAATTAATAATTATAGTGGGGCTTTTTTCACTCCGTTCTCTTCTTCACTTTACCGGTTCTGGGTTTCTAACTATAATCTGAGAGGGAAGCTGCCAACAGGTTTTCATTTCGAAGGAATAAGCTAGACCTCACATCATTCACTGACTTCGACATGTCTGTCGAATATACATAATTTAGGTAAAGCGAACGGTGTAGGAATACCTGAAGGGAGATGTTAGCCTGGGAGATTATGATCTATGAACAGGATCACTTACGCCAACACGGCAGCAGAAACTTCTTAAGAGAGGAAGCCAAAAAAGATGAAGTATAACTCAAACACAGTCTTGGTTTTCAATCAAGCTTTTAATGAAAAGATCATAAAATAACAGTTTATTTTTCCTCACTGCTGTACATTAAGACTGCAAGGTTATGAGTGCTGAGGTCAGCTGTATTACACTTTATGACACTTTGAGTTTGCGAGCCACGCCGCTGCACACGGTTGTGGCTCTGACCTGAATAAGAGCTCTCTGAGGAGTGGAGATAAAGACAGAGAGAAAGAGAGCCCAGCCTGGGTGCTGCCAAAAGCCACAAAAGGTGAGAGAATCTCACATTAAACACTAGTGTATGAGCATGTTAGTCCAGACGGTAGAACGTGTGTTTACATTGGTGAAGGTTTATGCACATGCTTGCTGAAGTGTACCTGGGCATATACACTTTTGCATGTGAAGTGTGTTTGCCAAGGGGGAGGCCTTCTTGCCCTTTAATTATTTATGACCAAAGTCCCTACATGTCCATTCGCGAGCCTCTCAGGCCATGGATCCTGATCCATTATTGAGAGGCTGTTCCCGAAGAAAACCTAAGAGAAAAGGTCAATACGCCCGCTTTATGGGCAACTCCACTAATCGATTCTTCAGTATTTCTTAGCAGCTAATTATGTCTTTCCATTAATGTAGTGCACATGAAGGTGACAACGTGCCTTTAAAAATTAATAAACATAAATTAACAGTTATGGATGAAATACGCTGCTAGAAACTTTACTTCAAAAACAGGATATTCTTGTTACAGAAGGACGGCAAAAAAACAAGAAGTCTAAAGGTAATGGCAAGAGAGTGCATTTCTGTAAACACAAGCTTTGAGGTAATTTGGTGTGTTCAGTTTATTAGTCACAGAAAGTACAGTAAATACTGAAAAATTCAGCAAGGAGCGAGATAAAGTCCACTGTGTGGTAACCGAAATAACACAGGGTCAACAGGCTAAAGCCAGGGTCTCGTGTGCGTGTGAGATAAAGCAAGGGACAATAAAGCTAATAAACAGGGTTTAATGGCACTGGAGGCCATTTTAAAAGTGGCTTTGGTTAAGTCTGTCAAGGTAAGAAGAAGAATCTCCATAATATCTAGACAGACCAGCCCCTCTACTAGAGAAAATGCCTGGAGAGGATGGCAGAAGTTAATGACGACGAAAAATGAGATGGAAACTTGGAAGTTTAAAGCCAAGTACGGTCTCTCTGGTGAGTTTCCCGCTTTGAATATGTCACTTTAAAGCTTTTTTTTTCTTTTTCTTTTTTTTTTAAACAAAAGCAACTGCATATTGATATGGTAGCTCAACAAACACAGCAACATAGATGAGGTAAGAAGAGAAAGAAAGAATAAACCGTCAGTTAAATCGGAACTGATGGGAGAGCATCTGGGTTTTCCCAGAGACCTTGAAAAACATACAAAGTGCACTTAGTAAAGCTATCGTATTCAACGTTTCTAAAAATCCTCTGATGTTAAACTTACAGATACTAAAAACATTATGTAGTTATTAGATTTTTTTTTTAAAAAAGGAGTAGCGGCAAGTGGTTTAATAGAAGAAATGTAACAATGGTTGAGAGGAAAACGACGGCTGAGAGGAGAGATCTGTGGGTTACGTGCACATTTCTGCTGTGTGTTTGTTTGTTTAAAATATACATAAAATGTCAGCAGGATGGCAACACCCAGGGAAAGCAAGCTCGAAAAGATACAGTAGCCTCTGCGCTGCACAGGCAGGGACAGCGTCCTGTCTTGTGTCTACACACACACACACACACACACGTGACAACCCACAACCACACACACCACACACACACACACACACACACACATTCACACACCCACACACACACACGACACACACAAACACACACACACACCAAAACTGCACACAACCCCCAAGTCACACCTGAGAGCACACACAGACACACACACACACAGGGTTTACTTCCACTGGTGTGCAGTCATTCAGTGAGACCTCAAGAACAAATGGGCAAAAGAAATGTAATAAAAAATAAAATAAAATAAAACACCCATAGTGACTTACTTGAACTAAAAACCCTACAGACTGTCAGGTATTACAGAGCAGATAATTAATGCCATAGACCATTTTGTTTTTGAGTTAAAAAAAATAAAAATAAAAAATAAAAAAAGGAAGCGAAACAAAGAAAAGAAATTCGATTCTCCCACAAATAAGGTCAGCTTCACAGATTGTGGTTAATGGCTATGTCTTTTGTCTTAGTTTTGATTCTCAGCTTGAAATCCTCAAAACAAAAAAAAACAAAACAAAAAACTAAAAAAGGGGGGTCCTGCCTCCACCTCAGTCTCACACACTGAGCAAATTCTTTGAAAAAGGTGAGGGCAGGCCCAAAAATAAATACATTCATCACTGACAATAGACATTTGATTAAAAAAAAGAAAAAAAGAAAAAAGAACACTGTCAATAAGTGTTTGCACCAACTTTGTTTGAGGCTCAGCCAGCCAGAGTTTTGTGCTGCTTTTACCCACACAACACAGGCAGCTTTAAAAAAAAAAAAGTTTCAAAACAACATCATAAAAGCAGAAAACTGACAATAACATTCACAGTTAAGACTACCAGATAGGCTTGTTTACATGCAGTGAACAAATCAAAGCTACATTCTCCAGATAGGTTTCAAGAACCGCCAGCATAAGAGATGTACCACGTCGGACTACGAAAACAACCCAAAATATTCAAGCATCATTCACCCACCCCTACATATTAAGAGACCCAAGCAGCAGAGGTATTCCTCGAGTGTATTTGGGTAAACAAAGAGACAAACATTGAGCTAAAGACCCTGACTAACAATGCCTTTTGATTAATACGTCAAGGATGCACAGCCCCCCCCCAAACACACTTTCTGTGGTCCCATCTGAAAACAGGCCAGAGGGCAGGAGGATTGGGGCGCAGGGTCATCCCAAAGCCAGCTGGCAGAGAGGGGAGGAGTGGGGAGTGCCCCTAAAACCACACACCCTCCCCTTAATTGAATATGCAGTAGTTCACTCCATGTTTAACGCTATGCTTTTGTTTTGGCAGCAGCCTCTGTGGAAAAGCATCTTTCACAAAAAAAAAGAAAAGAAAAAATGATAACGCACACAAAACCATCTCCCTAACTGGCCGAGCCTCGACTGAGGTCTGTAAAACTGTAAAAGTTTATGTAAACAATGAGATAAATACATACGTTTCTTTTTAGAGCCACACATGGTTCCATAATCATTCAAATGTGCTTTGGTTTAAAAAATAGTTTGTGGATTTGGGTATGAGCTTTTTTTTCTCTCCTTTTCTTCTTAGTTCTTTGTACAACGTTGCAACTATTTCTGAACATAGTGTGTAACTAACTAAAACGTAGACTTGTTTTGAGCTGCCTCACCTTTGTCAAGGCTTTTTGTGTTAGTTGAAAAAAAGTAGCCCCCTGTTTGTCTTAAATATGAAACTAGTGTTTTGCTTTCCCATGATCAAAATACAGAGAAATTGATACAATGCTATATTTTACAAATGTAGCTGAGAGTCTGCATTCACAGATGCAGAACAATCCCTGAAGTATTTGAATAGTAGTAGTAATAGTAGTAATAATAATAGTAGTAATAGTAGCATGGTCACAGTTTGGAGTTCGTAGTATGTTTTTTTTCCTTTCTTTTTTTTTTTTCTTCGTTACGTCGAACAAGCAAGCATTCAAATGCAGCTGCAAAAACCTTTGCAGAGATGGCTAGAGATCGTGTAGTACAAAACACCTTTTGCATTACAGACATTACACTGTACTGCAGTAAGGGCTGCGAGTACAACAACGTTTGAAGGCAATGCATTGTGGACTCCCTCTTCGGCTAGAAGAGGTCACAAGCAACAATGTATCAGGCGATAAATAACACGTTTGTGGATCTAGGAATGGGGGGGTGGGGATCGAGGAGTGTGAAAAATTCAGATGTATCATGCAATCACTAAACAGCAACTGCCTAACAACAAGACACCAACATCCAACATAAGTAACAAGTCTGGGAGCCCAAGACGCAGGTACCTTAAAACGGTAGTGATGTTTGTGTAACTGTAGCTGCATCCCTATAATAATCAAACATTTCACAGACCATAACATGAGGACGAAAAGGAATTACAAAAAAAAATAATCATGAGGACAGGTAAACCAACATAACAGAGGAATGCCTATAAAAAAAATTAAAAAAAAACAAACTTGTAGTGAGGGTTCATACTCTACAGTAACTGTTAAGAGGCGATACACTGGACAGGTTTGAGTGAAACAGAAGAGACAACGGGGGGCCATTCTCAACTTGTCATTGTTTACAATGAGGTAAAGCTTGAAATAGTTTAAAAATAAGTTAAAACTAATTCTGTGATATAATGGAATACAATCAGGAACAAAAGGATGCCGCAAGAGACCAGCGAGTTGTCCAGCTGTCCAGTGCATCTCTGCTTCTCCCTTCTTATTACAAGTTTTCACATGTCTGGCTCACAAAAAAACAAAATCAAAACAATTAAGTTGAACTTCACATTAAAATTCTGATTATATTTTCTATCTTTTTTTTTCCTTTTTCTTTTTTGGTCTGAACAGAACACAGAAAATGTCATCAAGTCCTGTTTTTAAAGTCAGGGAATATAAAGTGATAAGGACTCTGGATATAAATGAAAAGGAAACAGGAAACATGTTCAGGGAACATGTTTTTGTTTGTTTTTTTTAAAATAAACTTTACCAATTTTTTTGGGTGGTAAAGTTTACGTCATACCAGCCCACCAATCAGCACAAGCTTTCCTTGCAATCCACAAGACCCTTTGTCAGTCATTGGCCAAAAACTCCATCAAGAGTGGATTTCTTTCTCTGGACTTTGAATATAATTCATAATTTGTTTTATACAGCAAAAAGAAATCAAAAGTGAAATAATTTAGTATGCTATATATCTTAAGTACATCTTTTTAAAAACTTTGGTTATGAACTTGTCTAGCAAAGTTTGTTAGTTAGCTCTGTTCTCCTCAACATTCATAAGATCTTTGGAACTCTATATATCTAAACTAACCAACTAAGCACTAGTTGCTCCAGGCTGGAAGCTACAGTACACTTTGAAGTGGAGCCACAATGAACAGGGCACCCAAAAGCTATATCTGACAAGTACAAACAACAGCTAAGAACAATATTAATGTGTAAAATCTATAAGCATTAAAAACCTGTGTTGAGAGATGGGCAGGTTAAAGCATTAGATAAAAACTTACCATAATCTACACACTTTTTACAATTAATTACATAGGAACTTTCAACTAATCAACATAGAGTTTGTAAGAGTAATCAGAGGTAGAGAGGTCACAAGCCTACATAAATAGACTTTTCTTTTTTCTGAGGGGAGGAAAGCTATACAGACAGAAAAATAAACGTACCCACTGAACATAACGCTCAGTCTAAAAACACCCTCTTCACCTTATCCCCACGAATCCACCCGCCCCGCCCTGCCCCAACCCAACCCAGATCCCTCCCCTCCACAAGAAAAATCCCAAGACCTTCCAGTTTAAACATTCACTGAAACATGACAAGTTGTTTAAGCAAAAAACAAGTACCTCAAGGGTTCATCATCCAACCAGGTTTCATTCCTGGGAGCACTAGCAGGCAAATCTGAAAACAATGAAAATCTTCTCTATATTAATGCAAACAGCTGTAGAGAAGACTGAGTGTTTGTCATCTGTGAAACAAAAACTTAAATCAGTGTCCTCCAACGTGAACCTTCTTTCAAGAACTTCCAGTTAAAGCATGGAGATGGTCCCAAACCCAGTTACCCCTCCTCTTAAGCCCCTTTCAGACATGTTTTCTGAGTGCCTCAATGAGCACACCAAGTTACTTCTCTGTAAAAGTAGTGACAGAATTCGCATTAGATACCGTTTATGTGTAGCTTTTAACACAGCAGAAGTCTGAATGCATGCAGACATGAGATTGTGACTGAACACCTGCGTAGATGTGAGTTGCTTAGCCCATAAGAAAAACAATAACATGCACATAACTGCATTTTATCCCACCAGATCTGCTTCTTTGTGGTAGTAAGATGAAAACAATTACTCTCTAATACAGTTTGCTGTTCCCAATCCTGAGGAGAGATCTTTCTGGGGGAAAGCGGTGGCGTACAGTCCATGCAGCAGCACTATTTAGCAGGCACACTTAGTGTCAGTGGCAAAGAGAACTACAAAAACAAAATTGGCAAAGAAAAAAAAATTACTTTTCTGTGTTTGTTTTTGTTTCTAAGATTTTACATTGTGTTCCTGAGTGCACTGCTTTCCTTTACAGTAGTACAGTTTTGCTCCTTGCCAAAAGTTCAAGCTCTTTATTCCTAATGGCCCACCACCTCAACTCTTTTCAAGCCTTATTTTTTTACATTATATTCCGATTTAAATGAAATCCTCTGTAAAAACTGTGTATAGTTTGATTTATTTTACACAATCGTTTGGAAACAACTGTGCAAAATAAAAAAAAAATTTAATACTGACCAAAATAATCATGATTGGGATTTTTTGCCAAATCTAGCAACTCTCTTCATCACCTTCACATCTATGACGGTATAACTGTGAGAAATATGGATGTAGAAGTCATCATGTCTGTATGCCAGAAGGCCATCACTTTAACAGATTGGGGTAGCGAGCAATGTTACATATCCCATGTCTGAAAAGGGCTTTATATACAGATACCCATCACCAACCAACACAACGAAGCATATAAAGCTGTCAGGGTTAAAATAATCTTTTTGCTGAATTATTGCCAGTATTGTTTGCACGTGGTTTTTTTTGGTCAAAGTAGCACTGGAGTACACAGGGGACTCTTGAGTCATCTGAAAACTTCAGAGACTCAAAGGTAGAAGAGAGAAAAGCTGCTGAAGGGTATGAAGTGAGAGGCTTGACATTATATCAGTACCCACATTCACATTTAACAGACCAGACGTTATGCAACTCCACCATTGCTTTGTGACTTTGGAGAGAGACAGCAGTAAACTGTCCCTTTAGAGCTCCTGAGAGGTGAGCAGACGTTGTTCGATATAAACAACAACTGAATCCTTGCATCAACAAGATCCCACCATCACCAAGAGCACACTGTGGCTAACGGCTACATCATTCACTTAGCCAGGGCATCATAAACTGGATTAATATGTAGAACTATGTGTATGTGTGCATTTCTTTGCTTTTGCGATGGAGAAAAGGTTTGTATTTTCTATTCCCAGAGTTCTTTGGCTTGATGCATTTCTAAGAGGGTGAGGTGTGCATTCTCAGGTGACTGATGAGGTTGCGCTGCTGGGTAAACTTCCCCCCACATAGCTGGCATTCATACGGCTTCTCTCCAGAGTGGACACGCATGTGCTCTGTCAGACGGTACTGGCGTGTAAAGCGCATGCCACACTCTTCACATGCAAATGGCTTCAGGCCGAGGTGGCTACGCATGTGGCGTGTCATGGTTCCCCTCTGGGTGAACATTTTGCCACAGATGTTGCAGGGGAAAGGCCTGGTCAGCCAGTGGCTCTTTTCATGTTGTCTCAGGGTTGCTGGGTCTTTGTAGCTCTTACTGCACACTGTACACTTGAATGGGCGCGTTTCAGAACCAAAGGTAGAAGGACCTACAGTGGCAGAAAGGTCCTCGGCCTCCTCCTCATCTTCCTCTTTCACAAAGGTTCCTCCCTCCTCTTTGATGTAGAGCTCATCCTCAGTATGCGTCTCCACATGAGCATTGAGCTGTTCAGAACTGGGGAAACCCTTACCACAGGGAATACACACATAGAGGTTGTCTCCAAATGCTGGCTCAAAACCTTCCTGCCTGTACACATAGTTGGCGCTGTGGTGCCCCCCTGCTGTTCCCCCTCCACCTCCTGCAGTCTCTCCATCACTCTGACCACTTTCCTCACTGTGATCCTGGCCATTCTCTCCTCCTTCTTCCTCGTCCTTACACTGGAAGGACTGGTCAGATGTGAAGCTGTTCCCACTGCCACCTCCAATCCCAGATGAGCGGCTATCTTTAGGACCAACAATTACCCCATTAACCAGGGGCCTGCTGTGATCTTCAGACTTCAACCCTGAAGCCTCTCTCTTAGGCCATTCATTCTTTCGAGCTCCCTGTCGGGACTTTTTCTGTGGTGGAGGACCCTCTGGCTGGTTTTGGATTTCCTCTGAGGTTTTAGAGGAGGAGTTGAGGTCCACGGTCTCTGAGATGCAGGTGTCTGCACCCGGCAAGGTGGTAGACGAATCATCCAGTGAGGCACTGTTGGTTGTCGATACTGAGGCAGATTGAGGGGATCCTTGGGAGTTGCTGTGTGGGCTGAGGGCATCTGTGGCTGTGCCCGCAGAGGGTGGACTCTTCTTGGAGAGGTCTAGTCCAAGGTCCGGTTCCCCCGCACTTCCTCCGCTGCTGAGGTTACCATTACTGCTTCCATTCCCCCCATTCCCGTTCTTCCCAGAGGTGCCAACAAACATCTCGTCATCTGAGAGCTTGTCCCGAAGGCCTTCATCTGGCTGTGGCTGGTCGGCATCGGAAGGGGTTGGAGGATAGTGGTTATTGTGGCCAGTAGGGGTAGAAGAGGAAAGCCGCTGGTTGTTTAGACGTAAGCGGCTAAGGGGACCTGGAGTGGAGGGTTTACCTGGCAGGGGTTTCCCACCATTGCGCTTAAGCTTCTTTCTGCACAGAGCAGCAAGGTCGTGGAGCTGGAGGTAGCTGGCTGCAGTTAAGAGGGCACTGAAGTTCTGCTCATTGCTCTGGTCTGATGAGGACAGTAGCTTCCCAGTGTAGATGAAGTCAAGAACTTGTCTGAATACCGAGGGGTTAACCATCTCTGTGTCGAGGTTGATGAGGTTGTCATGGAGGACCAAAGATTTAAAGTAGATGCTGCTTGCCGCCAGGATGTTCTTGTGGGCACGGAAGAGAGCATTCTCCACCACAATGATAACATCACACAGGAAGCCCTTGGCTCTCTGTTGGTTGAGTTGCAGCAGCAGTTGTTTGGCATGATTTGGCAGTTCCATTTCCTCCGTCCTTCTTTCCCCTCTCTCTCGTCTCTCTCTTCCTACACGTGCACCACCTCAAGCTGAAAGAAACAAAACAAGGACATGATCAGTATTACATTAAAAAAAAAAAAAGTTTTATTACACTGAAACCACATAAAAATAATGGGTTATTGAGAAAAGAAATAAAGAGTGGTGTTTCTTAACAGATAACGCAAAAATCAATAGTTAGTGGCGTTGGTGGTGGATGAGGGAAAAAAAAAAAAAAGGCTGAATAAGCAATGTGCTGTAAAGGCTTAGCTAACGCTTCTCTAATGGCAAAATTGAGCTCACTGGGAAATTAGCAAACTGTTAGCAGTGCATGCCATATAATCACACAGCTGCTTAGAAACTGGAACCTTCTCTGTGTCCGACTTTTCTTTTTAAACAAACTGTAACCCTACATGGATCAAGTTCTGACTGTACACATTACCACTTATCTAGCACAAAGGCCGTAGGGGTGGAGGACAAGAATGGGTAAAGTAACTTCTTTCCTAAGTTGCCTCATTCCACTATCTCACCAGAGTAACTAGTTTCGATGGGATGCCCTCTCTGAAAACTCAGCTAACTCTAGTCTCCATTAGGTCATGGTAATGTCAGCCCTGCCCTATTGTCTGGGGGTTGGAGATCTGTGGCAGAGCAGGGCTGGGGGGGGGGGATTAGGTGACACCTGAGCAAGAAAAACTACACAGGAGCTTGGGCAAGAGAGGAGGGGGAGGGTGTGGCCCCAAGGCAAGGACAGCACCACTCGATCCTCCAGAGGGGCCCTTATTTATGGAAATAGGACGAGTGAATCCAATTCACTGCTAAACAACATACTGATGGCCTAATGGTACACACCACAGTACTTCTATTTCTCTACAAACACACATTTTGTGTTAATGCAATAGATGCAAAACTTCTGAGGGCAATATCAGTGGTATGATTTGGTTGAGGCAGCAGTCTGTCCATGTTTAACGTTCCCTCAAAGCCACAGGCAAGCTTAGACAACACAAATTTTCAATAACCACAACAGGGTATGCCATACTACAAGAGATTACAATCTAAGACAAAGAAATGTTTAATTCAAGTCAAACACATGTAGAAATTGCCATTTTAAGTGCCAAGCAAGAGCTTTGAAATCACATTTAAAAACACCCAGCAACAAGGGTTGAAATGGATCTGCATGTTGTTTAGTGATTGCAGTGTGCACATCTCAAACAGTGGATGAATCAGCATTTGAATAAAAAAAAAAAAAACATTTTTACTGTAAATAAACAATAACATGGTTTAATTTGTGCTCAAAATCCTGACTAACTATGGGCAAAAATACCAGCTGATATCAATATTGTGCACAGATCACCAGATTAAAAAAAACATTCTAGAGTTAAGACACCAGTAAAAGAGGAGACAATATTAATATTGATTCAATAATATAAATTGACCAAAACTAACTATATTAATGACATACCTAGTAACTATCGACCGAGGTAGTTACATTAGCTATATAGTTTAACCTGAACTTATTCTAGGTTAATATATCTTAAGCATGATGCCCTTAGATACCTTTTAGTAAAATTAAAGCACACATTATCAAAAAATTTCTGAATTTCTCTCCTTGTGTATACCATCTCCTTAACCTAACTTCAACAATCATACAGCTTCTGTATAATGCTGTAGGTATGAGATATGCAGTAGCAGGAAAAACGGCAACGAACAGCTGAAAGCAACAAACTAAATATCAGGTACTGATAACGACACAGATTACTACTGGCATTTGACCTGGTCTCAGATCAAAGCAAAGCTTTTAAAGAATATTTCAGTTTGTAATAGATGTGAATTATCCTCAATTGTCCTCAAAACGCCATCAGGGCAAAAGCATAAGTTAAAATTCAAGTAACTGTATCTGTTTAAAATAGTTTTAACTGCACAGTAAGTAAGCACAACTAAGGAGTCCATCACAGCGTTAAACAAAGACATACATATCCTGGCTAAGGCCCTCCAGTATCCCTTCAAATACTACAGAGAAAAACAAAGTACCACTAAAGAAGATGGCACACTAGATATAAGAGACTTGTTAAGGATGGTAATGACCACCCATTATTATAGTCAAAATTAAACACCATCAAAGAACAAGAAGGTTAAAATTTTAACCTGGTAAAGAGTGCTGAGTGTATCCGGTATGTAGCCAAGCTGACTCTGTCACAGACTAGCTGATACAATCAGCTGAAGTGATCATTACCCCCAGGTCCAGGCCTGGGCTTGCCTCCTCTGCTTTGACACTTCTACTCACGATCTTCTTCCCCTCCCCCGTTTCTCCTCTGTACCTCTCCTTTCTCTTTATCTTCCAGCCCTCACCAGCCTTTCACCGGGCATGCAGACACATCCCAGGAACAGCTCACTGTCCTGTCCCCAATGTAAATCATAATGAGCTATTCTGAAAAGCACAACCCAGATGTGTTAATCGTAGAACAAGCTAGGGGAGTTTACGGCACTCAGCCCTGCAGGCGGTAATGGAGAAGAGGGCTACTAGAGAAAGAAGGGCCTCTACTGTGATGCCAGCCAGGAAGCCATATATCAAGTCTCTCTCTTAACATACACACACACACACACGCACGCACACCTCTGCAGGCTTTATGGGGGGATTCAAGAGGCTTTTCCAGCGGACCAACATAAAAGGGGGCTGGGCTCACAGTAGAGAAGCCAGTTCAGGAGAGAAAAAAAAAAAAGAAAAAAAAAAAAGGAAGCCCTCCCCCCATCACCCTCCACCTCTCATCCCTCGTTGTCTCCCTTTCCTCCCCTCCATCACCCACCCAGCTACCCTCTCCCCCTGGCCCCTCCATTGCTGTGCTGTGCCGGCTGGATTCCAGGGAGCCGCTAATGGATTATGGCTGATCTATATGCAGCTAGGGTAGGACACGTGTAGGCCCGGCTCACCTTCCAACGATGCTGCCCAGGAAAAAGAGGCATGATACCACAGGGGACAGAGAGGCCTGCACCATGAATGTAGCTCCAAGTGTGACTGCATGGCACCCTTTCCACCTAGAAACATTTCAATACTACAAACCACACCGTTGTTCCCGTTTAACTCCGCAGTTAGAGTCAGGGATGATGTATCAACTGACAAAAACAGCAAAAAAATAATATTATTTCCAGCATGCCAAAAGACTAGTTTCTATGGATAATATTAGTGAGTTAGAAAGCAGTCTGCAGGGTTCGATCACCATAGTTTTAAGCCCTACACAGAAAGGCTGGTAGCTCATTGGAGAGAAAGCATGATAGCTGGTTTAGAAGGGCTGTAAGAAAGACTTCTCTCTCTGGCTGAACACCCTACAACATACCAACTAAATTCAGCCCAGGGAGGTTGTTGTCTTTGAGCACACACTGTGGATCAGCTTACCATTCCCTGCAGTGTAACCTCTTCAAAAACTATGACATAATGATAGGGGCAAACTCATCTTGAAAAAAAGAAAAAAAAAGGAAGAAACAAAGCGCCCTGCTACTTATCCTCAACCTTGACTTGTGTCAGGAGCCTGATGATCAGGAGATGAGAAGAGAGGTTTACACACAACTCACAAACACGGCAAGGCTCATGCACGCGTGTGCAGATTGTAAAGTAGAACGAGTCAAAGAGCCCTGGGCACTGAATTAATGTCAACCTTTGAATTAAAACTGGTTACACCTGAAATTTGGATGATCAGGTTTGACTTTATTTACCACCCCTGTTTCTGCTTACAATTTTCCAGCGCATATAGATCCAACAGCAAGTCGGTGTTCATGTAGCAAAGGTGACAGAGAGCTGTGGCACTAATCTCCTGAACACAGAGTAAAAAAGCCAAGAGAAGGCAGAGGTGAGCCAAAGTCCTGTGGTGCAATAACAAAACACACCCTACTGCTGTGAAAGGTCATCTGCTAACAACCAATAGAAATCAAGATTGACCAGGATTTTACATGCAACTTTTGTCTAATTGGGGCTTCTTTCACAGAGATTCATTTAAGCAAGAGATAGTACTGGGTTTGTAGAACTGCCATCACACAACATCAGAACCTGCATAAAAGGATCAGTGGTAGAGACAGATAGGTAGGAACGATTGAAGTAGACACAGAATGAGAGGCAATCAAGGGCAGGAGCAAAAGGCCTCACTGTGTGTGTGTTAGATGTGTGCATGTGTTGTGTGTGCACACACACAAACAGAGTATGCTGGTGGGCAGAGAGAGTGGGGGAGGGGTTGGGGGGGATGGTACAAAGCCAGTTTGAAATACAAACACCAAGCAACCACCTCTGAGCCATTTCAACATGGCTGACACTGCTGCATGGGTAAGGCTGGTCCACGCAGGACTCATGGGTACGGCAAGGACCAGCTGTGGAAGGACAGCTCACAATAAAATGAGATTAAAGTAAACAGTTAGTTTAAAAAAGAAAAAAAAAAAAAAAAAAAAAAGCGAACTACTATGTATGCTCTTAACAGACATTACATGTGAGCTACATACGAAACACATTGAAGATTTATCAGGTTGCTCTAAACCATTTCTGACAATGAATTAAATTATTTTCTTAGCAGAGCTGTGCAGCAGGGCAGCTCACAGTATTTTATTACAGGTGATATGTAATGCTAGTTAGTTATGCAAATTAACATAATCATTTCCATTTTAGTCTCATTTGATTGGTTACCAAGACGCACGTTGTTTTGTTTTTTCATCCTGCTACACGGCCTTTACACTGCATTACTCTATCACGCACACACATTTAAAACCTCATTTAGAACATCTGTTAGGCATATACATGATCCAAAAATCAGGTCTCTCCTGTTTCCATAAAGTTTCAGAAATCACATTACAGCAAAGGCTCCACAAAACTCAACTTGGTTAGATTCAGAAAAAGCTTCAGATTTACACAATAAACAACGAAAAAAAACATAACCTTCAATCTAAAACCTTTTTACAGTTTAATTTAAAAAAAAAAAAATCATTCACTTGTAGCAAGATCAAGTCTTTTAGGCAAGTTGGCAATGCAGGCATAAGACAGAATATAGAAGGTAAAGATGACATATGAAGTCACTAGCTTCAGTCATTTCTTGAAATAGCCTGCCTAAACTTGCAGGCTCAGTGGTAGATTTTTAAGTGCATCTAGTGCTGGATCCATTCTGGATGTAATCTTTTCAGAAAAGCTGCAGAGGACATATCCTGCTATTAGAAAAAGCTCAATAGGTCAAATCGGTTCTGTCCTGTTTTTGGAACATTCAGTTTTTCAGAACTGCTGGACGAACAGGTGCATGATTATAGTATGTATGTGAACTACAGTACCCTGACAGTTTGGGTGAACACTTCCAGTGAGGAGTTCAATAGTTAAGCAAGATAAACAAGTCCTGCCCACAGTGCAGTGGAATGACAAGAACCTCATTCTGTTTATCACCGATCAGAAAGCTGTGGCCACATGTGTACATCCTAAAACCTTACACAGCTATGCTGGCATTCAGACCATAGATTGTCGTGTAACACCAGGGAAAAAGAGGAGGAGAAGTTTGCTGATTTTTTGAAAAAATGACATTAAATCCTTTTTTCCTTACCACATACCTTTAAAATGGGAAATGAATCAATTTATTCTGTGGTATGAATGATATCTGGAGGTAATCTTAGCTAATAAAACAACAGCAACCAGTGCCAGATGAATTTTTATTTTATAAATTGTCATCAACTCATTTAATGAGATGATTTAGTAACTCTAGTTTCTCAGCCGTTTTGTAAACGTAGGGTGTAGATGCAAGTGCAAGACTAAAAATACAGCGCTAGAAGAAAAATGTCATGAGTAGATTTTGCATAGTACATTTCTCTTATATTTATAGACATTCGTTTGTTATTAAACTTGATGTTTCTCTTGTTAGTATGGGTTAAAACGCAAAAACACAGATTAAAAAGAGAGATTTAAAGTCTGCATATAAGTGGTTTATTTCTTTGTAACTGTAAGGGACTGATTTTGACTAAGATGATAGTCTTATAAAAAAAAAAAAAATCTCAAACTAGCTGATGTATCTATTGGTTATGTCTAAATTTCTTTACATGCAGTATTAACTTATTTCTTTACCAGGAGGTAACACTTACTGTCTGCTAATCAGGTCTGTGAGTCGATCCCCAGTTTTGTGAGTGTGGGTGTCTGCATGCATTGGATCGAGTGCCATATGAATCTGTGTGAATGAGAGGCTATAGCTTATAATGGGAACGCTGCTGTGAGTGGTCAGAAACACCAGAAAAGTACTAGTTCATTTAGTATCTGGCAGTTGGAGGTAATGGAATTTAAGATGAGGCTATATGTAACAGTTTTCATTGCTGAAAAAGGACTTTGTTAAACTCTCATTTGAAACATGAAACCTGAATCTGCTTTATGCACTGAAAGCGTTCCAACTACCATTTTCTCCTGCTGCCATGGATTTAATATGAATAACTTTGCATCTCTGCTGTGTCTTGAGTATCGTGTTCATCTAGAATGTCCTCAGGAAAAAAACTAAATAAACACTGAGACCTTCACCAGCAATCCTGTTTAGTAACTGGTGCCCACATACATCACAGTGCGTGCCCTCACTAAAAGCGCAGTAATCAGCCACTTCACCGACAACTGAACATATGATTGGTATGATAAAGTGACCTCTGTCTTGCGAGACAACAACCCCCAACCCACATGACCTGATATCTAATGCTTTGACTGAGGACATCATGTTGGGCGAGTAAGAGATCTTGTATGGTCCAAGGTTTTACAGACCTGCCAGCCCCCCCCCTCCTCCTTCAGCCGTTAAACACTGCGCAACCTTCTGGCTATCAGCACTACATTCCACATTCTTCTTCTTAAAGAACAACAACAACCCTGTCCCGAGGTGCTTTATCCACTGAACAAACCAAACAGCCTCTGAACAGGCAACCACCAAATAGAACAGACAGCTACATATAGATACAATAGCCCAGAACAATCTATAAGTCCCCATCCAACATGTCAGCACATATAGCCTAAGTAGCCTTCTTACTGTATTGCACTGCCCACACATGCTGCTGTAAGCCTGCATCCAATACACTATGTGTGTGCTGAGAAAGAGAAAGGACAAGACCAACTGGCCGATCATGAGGCACACACACAGACCTCAAATTACCCTCCAGGCCACACTCTGCAGTCCATAGTAATCAATGAAACTAGTCACACTGACCATTTGACTTGGTCATTTTTTATTTGTTTGACCCTTGCTACTTGATCTCTGACCTAAAATGTTCATTTGACAAAAGCATCAAAAAGTACAGCGGTTACTGTACAATATTTTACAGGATTTACTGGAGAGACCAGCTTGCCCACATGATCCATTTTCAGCGTAAAACTTGATCAACTCTATAAAAGTAAAGCGATCAATAGTCTCACTCAGTTTCTTCAAGGTTTATGAGATGGACTGGTTTAAACACAATGGATTAAGCAGTTCGCTCATCAAAGCACTGTGCTTTTACTGTGCTGATATCATCAAGTGCTTCAGGCATAACAGCCAGGAGTCCCATTTCTCCTTTAGAGGCTTTTCCAAATTGGATTATAAAGTGCAATACACATTTGCATGTGTCCCGTTCTTAACAATACAGCTTTTAGGTGTGTTGTTGAAAAACACACCTAAGCTACCCCTCCAGCCAAATTTTGAGGTTGGCAGACAGAGCAGCTGAGCGCTACACCTATATGTTGGGCTGGGTGTAGTCTGCCAAAATAACATCTTGTAATCTTTTTATTACAGGCTGCAGTCCCCTGCAACTCTAACCAGAAAAAGAAGCCATGAAAACAGTTGAATTTTATCTTACCTTTACTCTACTATCAAAGCAAGAGCTTGAAAAAAATGATAACAATGCCAACTTGAAATGAATTCACACCAATGATCGCAGAAACAAACAGTTAAATAATTTTATCATGTGTAAAATGAAAGACATTCGTTTCCCTACCAACTGGCAAAATATGAGACAACTGACCATTTTTCTACAGCCGTTTTACAAGGGGGTAAGTACATTTCGTCAACTGTTAATTAAAGTGGAAATGTTTCCACAGAACTACACTTTGGTTAACAGCAGCCAGTCGAGGAAACGCACATTACTGGCATTCTTATGCCTTCTTATCGCCATGCGCCTTGGTACTTTAACAGCAGTAATCATGAGGAGCAGAGCCGCCTTCACACCCGAGTACATGCATTGTTTTATTGGCTTACTTTGAGTTAATGATGAAGTAATTAACGTACTGGTGTGATTTTTTTCCCACCTTTTAAAAAAAAAAAAAGAATGAGGATGCTTATTTACTGACAGAAATCAACGACAGTGCAACAGTGTTTCTATAAAACAGTGCAGTTATAAGTCAGAGTGTAACGTGACACCAACGCTGTAGCTGATTACAAAGATGGTAGCTCTGGTAGCACCAGCGCACCTATAGTGCTTCTAAAACGTACACCCCACTGCATCGCTAGAATCGACGTTTAAAAAGCAACGTTTCAAACCAGGCTCTGCATGCATCCAACATTTTAATGGGTATATTTGCAAGACACTCCAGTTAAATGATTTTAATGAAAGTGGCTTAACCTACATATAAACAATAAACAAGTAGTACCATACTATCTACAAACATCTCAAAGACTATCAGCTGATTGCGCAAAAAAAACATGCGCAAAATCCACAGAATCTGCCCCGCTCCATTTACCACACAAAGTGCAATTCAATACCAGCTGAAGAGATCTGCTCTGCTTACGCGAAAGCGATTGGTTTTAAAGAAAGATTCAACTAATCAGCTTGCAATTTTGTAAACAACTCACTGAACACGTTGGACTGCAAAACTGAGAAAATGAGGTGAAGAGTAGAAACGTTTTAGCGTTCATATACCACGTAGCGACGTGCCGTCCGTGGACCCTTTCTGTCCCCCTGATGTGCTTTGCCAACCTGGTAATTCTTTGGTACACACTCGTCCTGTGGGACATCTCTCGTAAGCTCACGACGCCTAATTAAAAATATAAAAGGAGCACATCGTTCGCAAACGGCGCATTGTTACAGGTTTGGGCAGAGACCGCGATATGTTCGAACAAATAATGTGGGAATCCTCGGCTTGCCAAGCAGGCTGGTAGAGCCCCTTTTTGTTGGCACGCCGTGGAAAAAAACACCAGCGTAACAGCGAAAACCTCTGCGATTCTTGCAGTGGGTGGTAGGAAACGATCCGATCAAAAAACGACAGAAATACGGCTCCGACAAACATTTACACGCCGCGGCAAAAGGAAAGAATTCATTTTAAATACCTTCTTACATCGGTATGGTCGTTCTCAAGCGGTCTTTACCATCCTCTTGCTCATCTCACAGCCTTCGGGACGCCATGTTGCAAGCTTATGACGTTAGCTTCCTCACCCCTGACCCACATTTGAATAGAAACCAGCCCCAAAGTGCAGCAGTGAAAACATCCTAATGTGGGAGGGTTTTCACTTTTTTACATCAGGAATCTTACTAACTTTACCTGCAAGATGGCACAGACGGAAACAAAGAGTGCTATTTTCTTTCATTGTGTTCAAACATCTTAAGGCCTTCTCCTCCGAGCAAACCGACCCAGTTATAGTCCTACCATCCTGCTGTGTGCAGGTAAATGCTCCGTGAGATGCCTGACTTTAAAACTAATTTTGTAATATGTGTAATCTATGAAGGGACTGTGACGGGGAAAGAAATAGAAGTAGGGAGTTAAGTGATGTGCAGTTTTAGAATCGATTTACTAAGACTTGAGGGGTATTTTTATATGTGGCATAAGGGATTGTACACGAAAAGCTGTAGTATGTTTTAAAGCGGACTGTTGAGTGTATCCTCTTTTATCTGCAAAGGCCTTCACTCCTAAAATATGCCAGTTCGGTGCGCAATGCACTGGTGATAATGCATACCACAACCACCACAGAAAACAGCATTAGACTTGATAAATCTCTTTATCAGCTGGACTTAAGACGGCTGCATTGCCTTCAAAACCTCAAGCCTCAGTATCTAAATAATGATAAGGGGAACCCATTGACTTTCTGTCTGTTTTTCATATTTTTAAATAAAGACAACGTAGCTTAAATTTGTGTAAATACCCGTTTTTGCAGTTATCTTAATTCATTTATTTATTGTTTTGTTTAATGGGACTGTGATGCCTGGTGACAGAACTGGCTTAATGATTTCAAAAAATATATATGAAAGCAAGTGAAAAGCAGAAAGAGAGGTTCAGAAACTGGACCAGATGTGCGGAAGTGTTGCGATACGCAGGCTCCTCCTCTTAGCAAAGAGAACCAGGCTTCTTATTGCCTCACTGATAGATTTCACTGAAACACGACTTATTCAGAATAGTTGAAGAGTATGCAGATGTTAATAATGAAAATCTTAAAAACGCATTAGCTGCAAGGGGTTGCATCCTCTCGGAATCATTCGCCGTTTCCCAAGTAAAACCTTTTGTGTTTATGTGCTTAAATTGAGCCGGTCACATTCCGTGGAAGTCGGCATTATGGCGGCGTGCCAAAGGCCACTTCTGACACTGTGTGGTTGCCGCGGAAACTGCATACTCAGCGCGAGGGGTTACGTAATCAAGGTGCTCTTACGTGCTCCATGTAAACACAGGCAGAATTCCCAGCAAATGTGTGTGTGTGTGTGTGTGAAAACTGTTTAAAATCTGCTAGAACTCTTCTATCCCAGCCTACGTTCACTGGAAATGTACATAAGAAATCATTTATCAGGCGGACTACAGTTTGTGTTATGCGGTGTTGGATCGTTTGCCCAGCTATGTTTGTAATCTAAGAAATGTAGAAATTACTAATTATTGTTTGAAAATTAAATTAAAACTTTGTTGATAATTTAAATAAACTTACAAGATTCTGCCACACTTTACTTTGTAATTGTTTATTCAGTTGGGCTATTAAATAAATAAAACTAGAGTCGAAACACATTACTTGCACTGGAAGACCATTTTCATTGTGAAGTCCATGATAAAACAACATCTTCCAAGAACGTGTTTTACAGTTGATTTCCATTCACAATGGAGAAAATAATACATTTTTAACAGTTTGCCTGCGGTGGCATGTTGACATCCATCCATTTAGAAATGATCCAACTCTAAGGAGGGACTCGGTGTACAGAAGGACTAAATTTTACTTGTTATTAACAGAGGAAGAGCTAGAAATTATTTTTTTCACTCTATAAACATGATGAGGACTTTCAATCAAGAGCCAACAAGAAGAAAAAAAACATGTCTAAAACATAAAATGTCACAGTTCATACATTTATACCAGTAAGCCCTGAAAAGTGATAGATAATTAGAGGAGCATTCAAAGTAACGGCTTACATATTGACAGCAAACAACAATTCAAATAAAACTGGTTTTATGTGCATCCTTTCTGGCCTCAGGTGTGAGCCCTATCGCGAAAAGCATATTTGAATGGCACTGTATAATTTCTTAATGAGCTGACTCGTGAAACACAACCGGCCTCTCACCTTTTCCCACGGCAGGGTCTCCACACTTTGGCGAGCAGCGTTGCCCTGAGCGCAGAGCACCCTCTAATGTACAGAATGGGGGTCAGGGCAGCATTAACTCGGGGCAAAATGCGAATAGGGTCAGTGCCCTCATTTTTAAAGGTATAACAGGTCGTGCCAATGAAATTACAAATGATAATATGACAAAATATAGGAAGCCAAGTCCCCAAGAAGAACACCACAACCACCAGTATGAGATACACCGACGAACGCTTGCTGTCTCTCTCCTCGGAGGGCTGCTCCCTCTCCAGCTGAAACCTGGCAATGATGAACAATCGGATATTGAGCACTATCATTATGATAACTAGGAATATGTTCGCGACAAAAGTGCCAAAGCCTGTGACCTGTTTGGCAACACCGACAGTGACCAAGTTCTGCACAGCGACGATTAAGAAAGCGTAGGCCCAGTAGGCAACGATGACCATCACGGTCCTGTTTCGGGTCATGCGCTGGGAGTATTTAAAGGGGGACAAGATGGCGTGGTATCTGTCCGCCTGCGCGGCCAGGATAGCCATGAAAGACAGTCCTAGAAATGTGGGAGCAATGTAAAAGGTTCTCGTGGGGGAGTCATAGACATCCCTCACATCGAGAACACCAACATAATAATAAGACACTCCCGTACAAATGTCACTGAGGCAAGTGCTCAGCATGTACATGAAGCGGTTCTCGCTGCGCAAAGCTGTGTTCAGCAGGATGGAGAGAAACACAGACACGTTGAGGAAAATGATGGTTGCAGCCAAGAAAACGCTGAAAAGGAACATCAACACGTTGCCAAAGTTCGTGAGGGGCAGCGCGAGAGTCAAAGGGCGGCTGGTGTTTCTCATCAGGGCGGATGACAAATGCTGGCAGTATTGCAGCTGTGCCCGAACAGCACAGTGGGGTACTTCAAGCCCGATTTATGAAGCAAGCACAGTCAGTCTAAGAAGAAGACGTCAACCTGAGTGACTTCAACTCCCAAGGAGAGCAAGCCCACAAGGCTTTCATGAAAAATAGATAGATAGATAGATAGATAGATAGATAGATAGATAGATAGA